TAATAAAGCAAAGCATAAACAAAGATGCATTGGCTTTAACATCGTGGAGCTCACCTCAGCATTCAAACCATGATGTATATTGTTTTTCATGTACAAATGTTATAAGTAATAACATCTATAATTTTTGCCCTTATTGCGGAAAAATACTTAAAAAAAATTATCGCAGATTGTAAAATTGTAACTCTTCTGTTGAATAGTGAATAGTGTGTAACTTTCTTAGACCATTGTACTAGATAAAAAAACAGAATTATCTGCTTGTAATGAAAGAACAATAAAATTCATAGTCATTAGTGAAATCATTAAAGCTTGACTGTCTGAAGTCTCTTGAGTATTTATTGTGGTGAATTTACTATTGTTCCACGGCTGAGTGCTAGTTACTAATATGAACTAACTTAGAACTAGTTAAGCACTAATAAGTTTGTACATATTTCACAGACTTAGTGTCTGCACTCTATATTCATAATTAACATAGTTCTATACTTATATCCATATGGTATATTGCCAGGAAGTCCATCTTCGTCTAAGCTTCAAGAAACTCAAAGTAATGTCAATTTGGATAAAATTACTGAGGCACTGAACTCTCTAAAGAAGAATTTGTCAGAGGTGGAGACAAAACTGGTGAGTTAAGAAGTCATACATTACAGCTAAGTAAAAATGTCCGAGTAATATTAAAAAAAGTTAAATCACACGTAAAAATAAACACCGCAGGGACTTGCCCTCATGAGCTTATGAGTCTATTGGCATTTACTTCATATATAAAGTAAACTTTGCAAATGCTTGCTCATTTCTAAGTCTTTTAAATGAGTAAACATCTAAGTGTGTGGGTGGCCAGTGGGTCCTCCCACATGATTCCTACATCGTGGTAAGACTTCATTAATTTGGTTAAATCCAGCATAAATAGCCTCCACACAAAGGTTTACTAATAAATGTCAGATGCGGTAAAGGATTCCAGAATTTCGTATTGAACAATTTCAGAACAAAAAGATATCAGATTTGCAAAATGAGTTGAATAACGCCAAGAATCAAATCCAAACCCTACAAAGAGACAATGATAATGCAGCGTTATGGCGACAGTCCAATGAAACGAGGGACAAACTCAATGTGCACGAGAAAACCCATGATACTAAATATGAACAGGTAAACTAACCTATACATAATGCTGACTGATCAATACTT